ATTGTTTTTTGGGACGATCGTAATAAAAAAAAAATTATTAAGAAACTTTAGTTGGGATCTGTTGAAATTCCAAGAGACCCACCCAAATCATCACCTGTCAGTCCCAGAAACTTAGTACATTAAAAAAAAAACTATCAGCATCAGTTGTTATTTTTTTTACTGTTTTTTAAATATTTATAGAACAAAGCCAAATGACAAATTCAGTGAAGATTTTTTTTTATAAAAAAAAAAAAAAATTGGTATTCGTTATGGTAAATGAATAAACAAGTCAAATTGACAGGTGTAATTATTAACTGATACATAATTTTAGAAAAAGTGCTACTCAGCTATAAATGTTTTGAATATTCAATAAAGTCAAAATTCAACTTAACCCCCCTTAAGGGAAGCAGTTTTCCAGCAAACGAAAGTCACTGTTATCAACCAGACACTTTTTTAATATACATTAATATATATAACAGTAGAGTAAGTTATTTACACTATTTATATTTGGGCTCTTGCTTTCATCTTTGGTGTTATCACAACGTCTCAACCATTGTGCCCTCTGTCCTTCATCAGGTGTCCTATGGGATAATAACTTAGTGGATTAAAGCATTAGTTCATACATTTGGAGACATAGCAATTGCGATTTCAATCCCTGGGCTGGGCAGTGTGTACTTGGACTCAGTGGAAACGGGGCAAGCAGTACTAAAAATAAGAACCAGACGTTAACACTAAACATGGTCAGTATTGCTTGATTCATTTTTTTACAGCTTATCAACTCTTTAAGAGTTATTTAATGCCAGAAAATATTTTTAGATTGTAAGTTTTTTTTTTTTGTAGATAATAATGATTTACCAATACAAGCCCTACTAATTAACCCATACCTGGGGAAAGAGAGATGAATTCATACCTAATCAGAATTTGATAAACACACAAGAAATTATAATGTGGATATAAAATGGGGGATCAATTCTATATTACAACCAAAATATAAACTGACCACTCACTCTGTGGCCACAGTAGTTCCTATACATTTATATTCCAGACAATGTAAATAAATCTAAAAGACATGTCTGTGTAGCTAATCAGTATTTGATTGCATTGTAACCTAGAGAAGGTTACTGAATAGAGTAATTACATGAAGGTTGGTAATGAACAATAATACTTAGGACAAGAACAACACATATAAGATTCATCAGCAGCCCGTAGAAGTAGTTAACTGCTAAAAGTGAGTCAAGTGAATTCCATAATGAATCTCCACTGCAGACCAACATACAGTATTTACTACCGTATTTATGTGAATGTGGACATACCCATTATCATCCGTAGGTATGCTACAACAGATTGATTCATCATTCATTTTCTACAGCTTATCAACCCTTTGCAGGTTATTTAAAGCCAGAAAATATTTTTAGATTGTAAGAAATGTTTTGAGATAATACTGATACAAGTCTTATTAATTAACCCATAGCTGGCGGGAAGAGTTGGATTCATACCGTTCTCAATGATATTTGCATGTAAGTGAATATAATGAACCTAACTAGAAATGGAAATCAGCCCCCAGATTAATAATTCCAAACCATTATCCATTACGCCACATGCATATCCAAGTTTATGGTATCTGGAATTCCCAAGCAGTCACCCATCTAGGTACTGACCATGTGTGATGTTGCTTAACTTCAGTGATCATGTGAGAACCAGTGACATGGGCAGTGGAACAAGAACAGTCTACTCCCATAGATTAAATAAAAGGTTCAGTTCAGAATTCCCTGTAGGTTACATGGATTGATATATGCCCGATGAAGGCCAAAGAGTACAACAGCCAAAGTAATGTGATAACAACAAAGATGAGGACAAAAATCTTGACACTAGAATAAGTTTACACACATGTATATTAAATAAGATTTGTAAAATTTCATAAAAAAACGAAAATAATTTTGATACACCTTAACATGGGATTCTTAAACGTCAAACTTTTCATAGAACATTGTATAGTCAGGCATTCCTAAGAGGAAAGATCAACATAATTATTTTTTAAATTTGTTCTTATTACTCTCAATGTTATTTTAGTGAAGGCCCATGTTTGAACATGCTTAGAGTAAGAAGAAATAATTTGAGATTCAAAAAAATCTATTAGTTGCTTAGATATTTAACATTGGAATAGGTTTATCTCCAGTGTGTCTTCGTGTATGCTTTCTCAAATTTGAAGTTGCAGTAAATGTTAAACCACAGACATCACACTGGAAGGGTTTTTCTCCGGTGTGTGTCCGCATATGTTCAGTCAGTCTTGAATTAACAGAAAATTTTGCTCCACAAACATCACAGTGGAAGGGTTTTTCTCCTGTGTGTATCCGTATATGCTTTTTCAGAATTGAATTATCTGCAAATTTTGACCCACAAATATCACAGCCAAAAGGTCTCTCTCCAGTGTGTGACCGCATATGTCGTTTAAGATGGGAACTTAGTGCAAAATTTGACCCGCAAACATCGCAGTGGAAACGCTTTTCACCACTGTGGGATACTTTGTGTCGCTTAAGGTTGGAATTACCTGTAAAATTGGCCCCACAAATATCACAGTGAAATGGTTTTTCACCTCTGTGTGCTCGCATGTGATTTTTTATACTGGAGCTATGGGAAAATGCAGCCCCACAGATGTCACAGTGATAGGGTTTTTCTCCAGTGTGGATTAAAAGATGTGTTTTAAGTGTTGTGCTATGAGCAAATTTTGTTTGACAAATCTGACACTGATACGGTTTCTCACCAGTATGTATTCGCATGTGTCGCCGAAGTTGCGATCGATGCTGAAAAAGTAGTTTGCAAATTTCACAATGGAAAGGTTTTTTACTATTGTGTATTGTCAGGTGAAATTGAAGGTTGGAGTCGTCTAAGAAATTACGTCTACATTTTTCACAATAAAAAGTTTTTTCCTCGGTACAGACCTGCTCTTCTTGCTTCAGACTGGAACCCTCAAAGACAGAACTTGCATCTTTGTGTTCAGAGTTTATCTCATCTTGTTTCAAATCAAAACTCTCAGAAACGTCTGGACTAGTCTCTCGACTTTCAGAATTTGTCTCATTACCAGTTTCCATGCTTTAATAAAAATTTTAAGGAATTTGGTATCAAATTTAAACAGTATCTCAAATTGCTTTATTTTTTATAAGAATATCAAGAAACTCTTGTAAATATCTGAAACGTGATCATAGAATCCAATTCCTATATTTAGGACAAGACAATTTATCCTTGGTAAATTTCTATTTTAATTCTTGTTGCTGTGTGCTCTTTGTGTATATAATAACAGAAGAAAATTCAGTTATCCTTGGAACTACTTGTTACAATCAATGTTTAACAAAAACCTATAATTTTCCAACAGTTGAGAACCAACAATAGTCTTCAAAACTTTTATCTCTTGACTTCTTGATGAAATTCTTCAGATTATGGTCATCTCATTTGGCAAAATCTGAAAACAAAAATAACCATTATTATTAATTTTGACTAGTATTCATTTTCATCTGAATTTCCTTGTATATTACTTTAGAAGTAGACACAAATACCATTACAATTCTTGCAATCATGTGGGAACTATCCTAGTTGAGAAATGATTGCTCTCAACTGGGTCCATGGGAGAAAAAGTCTGATGTCATGAAGGCCCAAAAATTTCTATGACCCCAGACTGAGGAAACATTCTGGTGTGCAAAATGAACATAATCTTGAATTTTATTCTTATTAGATAATGCATTTTCAACCATTATTCAGTTTTGATAGATATTTCTTTGACTTAATTTCAATTGCTTTTTATTACATTATTAGTATTGGTAGTAACATTATCTTGAATTTTATTCTTATTAGATGAAGTATTGTCAGCCATTATTCATTTTTGACTAGGATTTCTTTCATCTTAATTTCAATTGCTTTTTATTACATTAGTAGTATTAGTAGTAATATTATCTTGAATTTTATTCTTATTAGATAAAGCATCATCAGCCATTATTCATTTTTGACTAAGATGTCTTTCATCTTAATTTCAATTGCTTTTATTACATTACAGTAGTCTACTGCTGTTAGGCGAACCAGTTTACCACTGTACCCGTTGTACTGCGGATGGGTGGTGGACCCCACGATTTTGCTTTCATTATTGCTCACTTTTTTAGAAGTTCCACCCTATTTTACCAATTTCTGGGCCATGTTCTTTATGATAGACAGAACAAACAGCGATCATTAGATGGGTCCTAATTTGTTTTAATAATTACACCTCTTTTTCACATGTTTTACCTTGATTTTGATGATCAAACAGCCCAAATTTTGCAAAATTTTAACACCTTGGCCATTTCGCACCTAATCCAATTGTATTGGTAATAATTACACCTGATTACTTTATATTTCTATTTTGTGCACAATCAAAGAGTTCCTATAATATCAATAATTATAATTAACAGGAATTCAATCACTGCAATCAGATACCACAGATTGGGTATAAATAGGAGAACTTTTCTCTGGTTGATCATGTTCAATTTGACTGTCCAACAATAGACATCAAGAATCTCTCATAAATAAACAAATATAAATAAGACATAATAATTAGGGGTCAGAATTCCCAGGAAATTGTGACCCCCTAGTAGTAATGCAAAATGTCTAAACATAACGTGTACACAGTAAAGGGGGAAAAAAAGCATTTGATATATAGGATATGGAACAGTGAAACGAAGGCAAAGATCAGCAGAGATACCGAGGTACCTGAATCCACCCTCAGGGGTTGGGTGAAGGAGGAGACCAAGCTGTGAGAGTTCACAGAGACTGTCCAGAAAGAAAGCCTGGACAGCCAATGATGAACAGCTGGACAAGGCTATGCTCAACTGATTTGTGAAAAAGCAAAGCCAGGGGACTCCACTGTCAGGCCCCATCATGAGTTTCACCACCAGCTTCATGGAGCTGAGTGTAAGGGAGACTTCATTGCCAGTAAGGGGTGCCTCCAGCGTTTCCAGACGAGGCAAGAAGGAGCATTGAAGATCCAGTGGGAGCAGAGGTCAGCCAACACATAAGCAGCAGACTCCTTCCCAGCGCAGCTGAAGGAGCTCCTGGTGGAGGAGACCCAAACCAAGGAGCAGCTCTACAAGACGCTCCCTGACAGAACCCTGGCCATGAAGGATGACATCCACAAGACCGAGTGCTTCAAGCAGGCAAAGAACCACATCACCATTCTGTTCACCTGCAATGCTGCTGGGACCTACAAGCTGAAGCTCTTGGTTTAGGAAGTTCTTGTCCCCTAGGTGCATCCACCATTTGAATATGGCCACCCTCTCAGTGCTGTATTCCAACTCTGCAAGAAGCTGGATGACTGCTGAAATCTTCAACAACTGATTCTTCGAGGACTTTGTCCCCAGTGTGAGGAGGCACCTGCGCTCGTGGAACCTACCAGAGAAGGCAGTTCTGCTGTTGGACATCTGTAGCACCCACCTAGCAGCCAGAACCCTGAGGACTCCAGATGGGCAGATCTTTGTGAAGTATCCGCTCAAGAAACTGGTGATGGAAGTACCATCACAGACTACCTGAAGGAGCTGACTCTGAAGGACTCCTCCTACCTGATAGCCAAGGCCTGGGTGGCAGTCTCTGAGGCTACAATGTGGAACTGTTGGAGGAAGGTCTTGGGTGCATCCTTTGTCAAGGAGGATGCTGAGGAAGAGATGGTACCATTTGATGGCTTCACTACTGCAGATATCCAGACAGCCCAGAACCAGCTGGAGAAATACTTGGATGCAGACTTTACCCTTCAGGCCTGGGTCAACATGTGATCTCAGGTAGAGAAGAGGGATGATACCCCTGTGACAGAGACTCTGACTGACTAGGATATCCTAGATGAGGTGGAAGAGGAAGAAGAAGCAGCTGCACCCCCAGCACCAGCCAAGAGCCACACTGATGCAGTAGACCACCTCCACTGGCTCATTGTGTATGTGGAAGGGCAGCAGGACAAGGAACTCATCACCACCCTACACCTGAGAAACCTTCTCAGGACACAGCTGAGAGCTAGGAAGGGTAGGGTGCAGAAAAAGCTCACTGACTTTTTTATTAAACACTAGCAGTAGAGCCCGGTGGTGATCGGGGATGTATACAGTAAGAAATAGATCAATTATCGACCATCATAAAGACTGAAAAATAAAATTGACAAAGATTATTGATTAAGGTTGACAGATACGCATGTCTTAATTAGTTTTTTTTTTTTTTTTTACGAATTGGTCAAACCCAAACTCAAACATTATGAGTCTACCGATTGAATAGAAATTTATTATAAACAATTGTCTTGTAAATGAAATTTTTAAAGCATTTTAAATGTAAAAATAAAGAAAAAAGTGTGCAAGGCAATAAGAAACACTACCTGCCAAAAAAAGTGAAGTTTTGTTGAAATCGGTTGAAAAATGTAGGAAATCCCATCCCATATATAAACGAACACACACACAAACAACCTGGGTTTTATAAATATCACTCGATATGAGTTGTCCCCCTTTCATTCTCGCAACAGTGATGCCTCTTAATCGTGTTTTCAAATTGATTTTGTGCAAAAACAATTGTGTTTTTCCAATTTTGGTCGCTGTCAGAACCACCACAATGTAATTTTACTGTGAAGTTTTGTTGAAATCGGTTGAAAAATGTAGGAAATCCGATCCAATATATAAACGTACACACACACACACACACAACCTGTGTTTTATAATAAGTATGATTATTAATATGAATGTATTAATTTATTTATTTAACTATTGAGCTTATTGTCTGATTTTATCATGTATAGCAAACGTGATATTTGTGGAAATAAATTTAATTTCTTGTACTTCACACTTTCCGTGTTTGTCTTTTCCTCTTGCAACATGGGACTACTTTTCAAACTAGACCATAATGCATTGCAAGAGGAAGTACTTTTGAGAATGGTTAAAATTTATTATTTTAAAAAACTGTTGTAAAACACCGAAATAAGATGAAATTTTGGTAATTTGCTTATTAAGCCCCCACGCTTAATCTAATGAAAATTTCCCAAATAGTCATATTTACGTGTAGATTTGCATGCTTAATTAAAAAATATCAAGGAAATTTTGATAAAATCTACCTTTTTGGAGTTATCAACAATAAAAGTTTGGACTCATTCATATCGTGGCTGCCATTACTGGCATTGTTTGCATATATTTGCTGCAGAATAGACATTCATTTGTCTCAATTATTGCGCACACCACTAATAATGACTGCTTTGCCATAGCCAACAACTAACGTCAGGGGAATTTATCAGATGAAAGGACACAAGTGACAATATTTTCGAATTTTAAGTGAACCAGCTTATTTAACTGTACAGTAATTTTTAAAAATTAAATACTTTCAAAAGTCCATTTTATTGATTTTTTTTTTAGATACTTTAGCTTTATAAAGTCTTACATTTAAAGAGAATTTTTGGAAAAATAGAATTAAATACTTTCAAAAACCTAATATTTTATTGATTTTTTTAGGCAGTTTTTTTTTAACAATAATATTTCCAAAGCCTAAACTAAAAAAGAAAATAAGTGCAGTATTCTCTCACCGAAAAACAATAAACTTATTATATTTAAAAAATGAAATTAAAATATTTAGTAAAATAGGATTTATATCCTATTTTACTAAATATTTTAATAAAGAAAATTAAAAATTTTGAAAATGTGATGATGATGGTCAAACAAAGAGAGTTAGTCAATCAGAGAATTCAACACATACTCACAGGACAAAAACACAAAATTTTCTGATGTCAGTTTCTTGCTGTCAGGGGAAATAACTTTTAAAACACTTGACATTATGTCAAGCACGTCCATCCATATATTTGGAAAAACGTTTTTATGAAACAGTGTGAAATTCTTTTTAAAATACATGTCTTGCAGATTGTAATAAGCTTTCAAATTTTATGATCTGTAAAAATAGCTACTTAATAATAGCATTCCCTAAAGGGCACGGAGTGAAATTTAATTTTAAAATATTTATTATATTTTGTATTTAATATTGAAAAAAAAGAAGAAAACATTTGTAAAAATTCATTTTTCATCGGAAAATTATTTTGGCTTCAGACAATTGTCCTTAGCTTTTCTAATAATGTCCTATTTTTTTAGTGGGTTTTTTGTATTTTACAATTCAGAGCTGAATTTTGTGTAGTTGTGTATTTCGATTTTACAAAAAAAAAATCGATGATTTATTCTTCAAAGCCTTCTGCTTTTAATCACTAAAAAAAGACATGCTGTCGAATTTCTCGAATTTTCATAAAATTAAGTAACGGGGTGTGGAGGGGTCATGTAATATGCAAAAAAATATTTTCACCATGACTTTCTAAAAAAAAAAAAAGGTATAAAATAATTTCATTCATTTATGAATAAGTTGTGAAAGTTTCATTAAAATCCGACAATTATTTGATTTTTGCAAGAATTTCCAAAACAATAAGTTTTCACCGGAAAAAAGGCCCTAAAAAACTAATGGTAAATTAAATACTACGTCGACTGCTGGTGTAAAAAAAAGAAAAAACATTTAACAAAAATTTGGAACACGCTAGAAAAGATGAAAAAATTTGATAACATAATCGAAAAATACTTTGGTCTTCTTACTTTACTCTTCTTAATAATAACATAAACATTTTGACGATAAAACTTCGTTTTTATTAAGTTTGGGGCCTTTTTTCATTATGCTATGTTTTCTCGGTGAATTATTCACCCCAAATAATATTGTAAAGTTACTTATCTCAAAATTAATTCACCCCCAAGAAATTAAATTTTAAATCAAAGTTTGTTTTTTGTTTTTTTATCAAATATTTGGCACTCTTTTTTGAGAGTATAAATTTAAATTTTTTTTTATTAAATCTATGACACTCTTTTAACATTTTAAAAATCAAAATTTGTTTACCTTGCATCGCAACAATTCCAACCCTCAGAATGAAAAATTACCAAAAGTCAGAGAGTTATTCACATTTTGTAAGTGCGGATAATATTCGAGGTACTTACAAAGAATTTATTTACATTTTAAAAAAAAATAAAAAATAAAATAAAAAATCTGATTTTCGCTTGTTTATCGGGGTGAGCCTACTTAATTTAGAAATAGCGCACCCGAGTTGCCCACATTTGGGGCGATGGCAAAGGTCAAACCGGAGTGCAATGTGAAAGGTCTTCGCTCTGGGAGAATTTGGTGCGAATTTTTTTGGTAAATAAAAAAAAAAAGTAAATTCTTTTTATTTTGGAGTGAATTAACAGAAAAGATTCAAAAGCGATTTTTTGCTAATGTCCTTATGCGATGGAAACTATTGATATAGGTTATTTTTTTAAAAATTTAGTCCATTATTACCAACTCTGAACTTTAAACCCGCTACACTTCGCAAAAATCTTTTCGCACTTTAAATCGCCTTGATAACAGAACGACATCAGACGGCTTCCTCCTCTTGAGCCGATGATTTCTAGTAAATTTAATTTATATCATCTTTCATGCTGAATGTTTTTATGTTTTACACAACAGTGAGCCCCCGCCTATTCGCGTTTCAGCATTCGCGGATTTTTTTTAGAACATATGTACTTGTTATTCGCGGAAACCCCGAATATTCGCGTGTTTTTCAGAAGAATATATGTACGAATTATTCGCTCAGAACTTCCTCAATTCGCGTATTTTTTCGACAGACCATATTTAAAATATTCTTGTATTATTTTCTTGTTATTTAAATGACTTAAAACATAACAGTCCATTTTTATGGTAAAAATTGGCAGAATTGTACATCTTAATTGTAAAAAAAACAAAAAACATGCGTAGTTCTTGGGCTTTGTTCTCTGTTAGGGACTGCGGCTGGGGTCTTAAAGGTAAGTTAAAAGGTGACTTTTGCTAAGTCTGGGGACATCATCACAGTTCTGTTTCTAGAAAATATTTTAAACTTTATATTTTATGTCTTGTTACACATATTTTATACAGTATTTTCAATGGTTGTATCGATCAATGCGTAATTAAAAACGGTTATTGTACGGATGAAAGAAAATTTAGGCTAAGCCAGTGAAGTGAAGTGTATGGTCATGCGCCAATACTATTTTTCAAAAATGTTTTTAAAAGGGTCTGAAATGTTTCTAAAGTGTTTAGGATGAAAGTTTAAGGCATAGTTTTTTTTTTTTTTTTAACAATCAAACAAAATAAAACAGTAGTTAAGGCACTTTTAGCGTGGTTACAAGTATTCGCGGATTCTATCTGTTCGCAACTGGTTCTGGTCCCTAACCCCTGCGAATACGGGGGACTCACTGTACTACTACTAACATTCACCCAATACAAAAAAACAAAACAAAAAAAACAAGAGTAAAGTAAATGCACTTAGAGTGTAACACGGTTACCACTGTGACGGATGTAACAAGTCACGTTTGGGCGGCCATGCTCAGCTGTCAATTCAGGGAACGAAGGCCGCCTCGAAAATACACAACCAATAATGGTGACTATATGGGAATGACCGCGTTTTGTAGCGGAAAACTTACCCTCTACAGGTGCTATATTGTGACCCCTGTATTTGTCGTAGTCTCCGTGGAAATAAACGGGAGGCATTTCTTTCGGAACATCGTGTCTATTGGTGTGTGTGCACGCGCATACAAAAAATATTTCATGTTTGTGCCACAAACGCCCAAAATTTGATTACAGTGTAACCCGGATATAAGAGAGTTGTCGGGACCGGAGGAGAAGTCTCTTATATCCGGGTTTCTCTTATATCCGGGTTTGGTCTATTTTATATACATTAACACAGGCTCTAATTTGCGACCAGAGAAAATCTCTCTTATATCCGGGTTTCTCTTATATCCGGGTTACACTGTATTAGAAATATATACCATATATACAGATACTCGCGTATCATGCGACTTTTGAAGCTAATTTTAAGGGGGTTGCATCATACATTAAATATAAGTTAGAGTGTATATTTACTGTATGACTCCACCTCTTCTCCCTCAACTATATGCTTCCATCAGAGGAAAC